TTTAGTAGGGGCTTTTGTGCAATTTCAGAATTCTTGTTATATTGTACTTTATTAGTGCATACAATTTTGTTATTTATCAAAAGTTCAATATATTGCACATTAAGTACATTAACAATGCAAGATATAAAAGTTGATTCGTTTTTACAAAATTACATAATTATTAATTGGTTGGATCATCAATCGGTTGGTTTAATCGACCGAGAGGATGTCGAAATCGGAATAATAGAAATTAATATTAATTGTATTATAAACACATATTTATTGTTGTAATATTTTTCGATTTAATAATTTTTATTATTTTCTTGTTAAGAAATGTGATATTCTATATAAAAAATATAATGTGCAATTATTAATGTGAGAATATTCTAACACAACGGTGCACGTTGCAGGTCGGTATTGCGCATATTGATTCAAATGAATTTTTGTCCCAACTTAAAATTGAACTCGAACTGAATTATTTGGTTTATTCGACCGGTTAAATGAATTATCCTAAATAATTAAAATAATTATTATCTATATTAAAATTGTATTTACTACGTTACTATTTTTTATTTATTAGTTTTAAAGTGCACCGTATTGTTGTATAAAGTGCAACGTGTTGATATATAAAGTGCAATACTGAAAGTTTGGTATGCTAACATGTTTGTGTTTCTTGTGCATAGGTGATGTGATGGATGTGATGGATATTAAATTGTAATGTAAATCTATTTTTTATTTCTATTTTTAATTTTATCTTACGTAATATATTGACGGGGGTTGTTGATATTAATTGTGTAGTGTGGTATAAAATGCAACGTTTTTATAAAGTGCAACTTATTGTTTTATAACGTGCAGTTTGTTGATATATAAAGTGCAATACTTTATATGATCACATAATTTATGCGTTTTTGAAAACTAGTTTTAATATATATTTCGAATTGCCTTAAAACTTTAAATAATTTATTATTTATTATTATAAAATTATATTTAATATCGTAATGTTTTTTGTATATTAAAATTTGAGGTATTAAAATTTTTAAACATTGTACATTTTATTTATCATTAATATACATTTATGAGAATATTGGTATAAATTAAATATTTGGTAATAAACTAAATTAGAAATTCTCAAAATTAATAAAATTTCTCACTTGAAAAAATTATGTTCCTGACCCCCGTAATTATTTTGCCAATGTAGCTTCTAAATAAGTTTAACTAGTATTCTTAAAAAAGCAAAATCACCTCTCTCCAGCTCTCTCTCCAAAAACAAAAAACCAGATCTCAAGAATAAACCTTCCCCCTCCTGCTACTCGCCGCTACCGCACAAGACCCTCTCTCCGGACCGGCCATTGCCGAAGATGGAGAACTACTTTAGCCACCTGGTGCCGCGTGGAGGAGGTTTCGCGATCTCCTTCGGTGGGGTGCAGAGTGGTGTCGGTTCTCAGTCTCCATCCTCCATCTTCGGCCACCGTGTGTTCCCGTCTCCATCCTGCCGCCGGAACTGTTTTCGGGCAGTGTTTTGGGGTCGGGCTAGCCCTCTGCCATTAAATTCCGGCCCTTTTGGGGTCTCTGTTTGGTGATGGGCTGGGCCCGTCGGTGTTGTGGTTCGATTCACCTGTTTGTTGTTCCTCCCGT